ATGCAGCGCTACATTTTGCAAGAGATGTGAGGCATTTTGCATTTTGTGTGTGCGATTCTTGGATTCGTGTGTAAAGCTTTGAAAAAAAAAGAGGCAAAGTTTTGTAAATGTGTGTAAGCATCTGAAAAAAAACTAATTTAAACATACATAGAAGTGTAATGTGTGTGTGTGTGTGTGTGTGTGTGTGTGTACAGTGGACACATATCGAGTGGGTAATGACGTGTCCGTGGATCTGGAGTTCAGGACGTCACAGAGCAGCGGCGTTCTGTTAGGCATCAGTAGCCAGAAGATGGACGGACTGGGCATTGAACTTGTCAACGGAAAGGTACAAAAGAGAGTCAATGTATGCTTCAGACACGGGTCACGACGAGGCATTCCCCATAGCGACCCCTAGAGGACGCAGTTCGAAGTTCCCATGAAAGGGAACTAGATTTTGTTGTTTTCAGTTCCATTGGGGGGAGGGGACAGGTAAATGATTGTGAATTTGTCTTTATATTTGAATGGTTTATTAATAAGTGTCTGTTGCTGTAGTTTTTATTCCATGCTGATAATGGAGTGGGACGCTTCACAGCCGTATATGAGACAGATCCGGAGGAGGGGCTTTGTGATGGACAGTGGCACACTGTCTCCGCCCACAAGCTGAAGCACCGCCTGGAGCTCGTCGTGGATGGCAAGAAGTCTGAGGCAGCGAGTCCAGACGTCCGCTCTGCCTCCGCCGATACCAATGACCCTGTGTATGTGGGCGGATACCCCGGTATGTCAATCAAACTCTGTTGCCATGGTGTCATTGTTAAGAATGTTCAAACATTCATTCGTGACTTGGAATTAAAATAAGCCATGGAGATATTAACAAGCTAACAGGCAATAGTAACTTAAAAATAGAAAGTTAAAAAATATATTTTATTAAAAAAAATTATCTAAAAAACAATTACATAATAAAACTTCTGTTTGATCATGATAAATCAAAACATTCATAAATTTGATGACATTTCTGATTCTGTAGCTCGTTCTCATTTACATCATAAACAAACAGAAACTTCTGTTGAAAAGCAGAGCGTGACGCTCATGACAGCAGTACTGTGAACAACAGTTGTTAATAAAACAAAACATTTACAAATACCAAATGAAATTGAAAATAGGATTTTTTTTAAGCTCTTGAGGAAAAGTGGAATTATTTTGATTTGAAGTCTTTGTAAATGTATTATAGAAGTTAGAAGTCTGGATTGGGGACAATCCTAAAATACAGAAGTTCTGGAAAATGTAACATTGCAACATTCTTGAAATTAGGAACAGAAAATTAAAAGTTTCAGCTTTCATTAAAACGTATTCATTAAACTAGAAAGGTTGTTTTTTTAAGCATTTTTTCTTTCAGCTCATCTTAGCGGACAGACACATTGACAATTGGATCCGTTTAAATGTTTCCTGAAAGCTAAATGACTGAAATCTTGCTTGTGTGTGTCTGTTGCAGAGGGTCTGAAGCAGTTTGGACTCACTATAAACACACCGTTTAAAGGCTGCATGAGAAATGTGAAGATCACTAAAGCTGGGAAGACTCTGGAGGTGCAGATGAACAAAGTCCTGGAGCTCAGAGGAGTTCAACCTCTCACCTGCCCTGCTAGTTAAACGCACACGCTCTCACCTGCCCTGCTAGTTAAACGCACACGCTCTCACCTGCCCTGCTAGTTAAACGCACACGCTCTCACCTGCCCTGCTAGTTAAACGCAGACGCTCTCACTTGCCCTGCTAGTTAAACACACACGCTCTCACCTGCCCTGCTAGTTAAACGCAGACGCTCTCACTTGCCCTGCTAGTTAAACACACACGCTCTCACCTGCCCTGCTAGTTAAACGCAGACGCTCTCACTTGCCCTGCTAGTTAAACACACACGCTCTCACCTGCCCTGCTAGTTAAACGCAGACGCTCTCACTTGCCCTGCTAGTTAAACACACACGCTCTCACCTGACAAAATAATGTTCTTTTTAGCAGCATCATATGACCCCTTTAACCGTGGCTTGTGTACTGCAAACACATATTCATCACTGTGTCTGTCATGAGACTCTGTTCCCCTTTCGGGCTCTGTCTTTACATTTATTTTGAAGATGAAGCTTGCGATTATGGTAAGGGGCGTTACATTTCCGACGAGTGCTTGTGGTGTTCGGCCTATCACAATGCACTGGGTCAGCTGGCCAATCAGAGCGGACTGCGCTTGTCAAAGGAGGGGGCTTTGTAGAAAACGAAGCGTTTGAGAGAGGCGGGGCATAGAGGACCTACAATAATGTACAGTATTTGAAAAATAATGTGTTTTTTGAACATTAAAGCATGTCAACATATTCTGTTACACCAAATACACAAAATAATGTTCTTTAAAATAGCATCATATGACCCCTTTAAACACACACACTCTCACCTGCCCTGCTAGTTAAACACACACGCTCTCATCTGACTCATTTGACTGCTACTCAAAGTGAATCAGTTCATGAATCAAAATCAGAAATATTCAGAGAACTAACTGTGAAGTACTAGCTGTGCTGCTCATAACCAAATAACACAAGGAATATATTAAAAAAATAAAAAAAACAGCTGGACAAACCAAAGATTATAGACAAACCCAGCTAAATGAAAACCAGATCAAAAACTTCTTTAAAATACAATTAATACAATCAGATATCATAGGAGAAATTTTTTATAAAAACTTTCAGTAACACTTTACAATAAGGTCCCATTAGTTAACATTAATTCAGGCATTAACTAACATGTACTAAAATATAGCTGTTCTGTGTTAATTCATGTTTGCTCTGGTCAATTAAAAATAACAGAAACAATGTATTATTAAATATTGAAATGAATAATAACTAGAATTAATAAATACTTTAGAATAGTTTTCATTATTAGTTCATGTTAACCAATATAAACAAATGAAAACTTATTGTAAGGTGTTACCAACTTTTTATGCTCTAGTTCATTATCAAACTATGTATTTGTGTGTTAAAGAAGCCAAAACCAAAACAGAAACTTTAGTAAAACATTAAGAACTTTTTTTAATCTCCAAAGCACAACTACATCTTACACAGCCAAAAGTATCCTAACAAAACCATTAAAGAGTGGATGACCCGAGGAATCGGGATTGTATCATTTAAAAAGACACACATTGATAGATCAGTAACTCAATAAACTACAGAACTGTAAGGCCGTAAAAAAACGTGAATTTCTGCTGAGACCTTTCAAATGTCACCCACATCAAAGAGGTCTAAACAGGCAAATCATCAACAGGCTTGATAATCATTTAACACAATATCATACATTATTACGTGGAGAGCGTTGGACTTCCGGTCTTAAATTTGTGCATTTCGAGTTTTCTTCAAAGTGTGATTACGTTTGACACCTGATACAGTACATCAAGAAATATTTAAACAAAAACAAACAATGCTTGTGCCTTGCTCCAATACTTCATAAACTGTAATTAGAAAGGTTACACTGACATAGAAAATTAAGGACCTGTTCACAATTAATTAGCCTTGCCAAAAATCAGCACAGATGTGCTGTATGAAAATTAAAAGTCAGATGTAGGAAAGTTGGACAGATCAGATTTTCAGATTTCAGTGTGACCGCAGTGTAAATGCCTTAATGATCAAACCACACTTGAAGAATCAGGTTGGCTGCATATATGAAGAGCAACATACTTCATCTGAGAGCCAAAGAGATCGTACGACACATTCATGGAAAGAGGCCTTGTGTCGAGCCCTCTCAGTGTGTGTTTTTGCATGGAGTGATGACATGTACTGTGTAATGATCAGTATTTCAAAATAAAGAAATATCCCCTCTGATGGCGCTTGATATGGTCTGCTGTGTTTCCTTTCATTGTGTCAAAATAACCATTAAAGTTCATGAACTAGTTCTCCTCCAGAGGGTCATTAGTATTCACACTTTCCGATTTTAGACTGACTTCCAATGTATCATGGTTTAGTAAAATATTTAAGAAGTTGAGGTCAAGTTAAATGCACTGATGAAGCACTAATAAAGCTTCAATTTTAGTCTTAGGCTAAGTACAGCATTTGATACAATAGACCACTGTTAAATACTAAGTCTTTTAAACAGCTTTTGATCGTTCTGACTGTACATGGGAAACATGATATATCACATGGTGTTCCACAAGGGCTGGTTCTCAGGCTACTTTTATTCTCATGCATCATGAAATGAAAGATCATTTTTATAGACATCACACAGTCTGATGGGCCTAAAGAAACTGACTGAACATCTGTCCTTCATTTTACTCTGGAAAATTGAGGAATTAAGATGAATATAATTTTCTGTCTTCCTATAAATGTTCACACTTTACACTCAGAGAATTTAGCGGTTTGTACATTTCATATTGCATATACACTACACACACACACACACACACAAAACAGCTTGTATTCATAAAAATCAGTTAACTCAGTGTGGTTTCCTGTCCAAAAAAACTGAAAGCAAAACTATAAAATCTATAAGAGTGCAGTGGTTTGTTTCCTCACCACACACAGTCTGGAATTACAACAGTGGAAAAAACAAGGAAGTACACTTTTTTTTTCAACAGTGTACAAATGTTGAAGACCTTTTAATTCATAGCAGAGGACAGCAGAAGAGAACGAGTCATGCTCATCAGAAGTCTGTTGCACAGAGCCATCCATGATGGGACGATGCTGCTGAGAAACCATCAGAAATGCTCTACAGTGTGGAGAGAGACTCGCCACTGCTCGGCTTTAGTTTACAGAGAACACTCACATAACATCGATACTGTGAGGTATGGAGATATCAGACTGTTTATATGCATGTATTAGTTCATAGCAGTGGATTAAGATGTACTGCAATGATAAGTAGTCTTAATTATAATTATTAAAAAAAAAATGTTCATTGCAAAATTTATTTGGGACTCTACCAAGGTAATTTCATCTGAGATTCTTAATGAAATTTGGAAACAGTATTTTTAAACCATGATTGGCATGAACCAGCAATCTGAATCAAAGTCTTCTTCTTCATGTTGATGTTTTTTAATATATTGTAGCACTGACTCCATGTCATACGCTCTTTGGTAAGCACTAGATTAACTGCAGGACACTTGTGAAATGATGCTCATTGACTCGTCATCTGTCTTCAGGATGGAGCAGCTGCTGCTGCCTCCAGTAGCTGATCGTTCTGTGAGGGTCCACATGCTCGCAGCACCAGTCAATCCTGCAGACATGAACATGATCCAGGGTAAAGTCACCACTCATGCACCTTCATGTCTGTTTACATCCTTTCAGTCTAGTGATGGTTAAATCTGATGTTATTTTATAGAAATTCTGTTCTACTCTGGGTTATTGGAGGCTGAACATGATCTTGTCTCCATAGGTTCGTACCCGATCTTGTGCCCCCTCCCAGCGGTGGGGGGGAATGAGGGGGTGGGAGAAGTGATAGAGGTGGGCAGTGATGTCACATCTCTCAGACCTGGTGATTGGGTCGTGCCCATAGATGCCGGCTTTGGTAAGGAGATATTCAGCCTTTCAGTTTAGGGATTAAAAAAACATCAAAACTTTGAAGTCAACATGGAATTCAGTTCCAAAATGTGTGTATTTCCAAGTGCATTGCAATGAAATCCAAAAATATTTAAGGTGGGTCTTGATTGAAATTTGATGACAGGTGGTTAATAAGCAAGAATTCTTGGTGGCACAAGTCCCAAAAGGAACGTCCTTTCAGAGAAGGAACAAGATATTAAATTCTTACAAAAGATTGCAAAGAAAAAATGTGGCAACACTCAGAATAAAGATTCAGACTAAAGTGAAAAAAGTACGAAGTGCAATGAATTAAAAACAACCTATAGCCTGGAGCATTGAAGAAACTTCTCTGGTTATGAATTTATCCTTTGGTTCCCCAAGATACAGGGAACGAGACACAGTGTCAGCAACTGACACTATGGGGGGAAACTTTCTCTTGATCAATCACTTAGCCCTATTGAATCACACCAATGCAGGCGTTCACACCTGATGTGTTCGTATAAATATAAGCGGCTGCTGAATGTCATTACCTCCAAATCTTTATGTGTGACTGAGAGCAATGTGCTCATCCTGAAGTTCATGCATATAATGTGGCAAGCTATGCAATGTCTCATTCCTTGTATCGAGGGTCCATTTCGAACGGTCTCTCCCGTTGGCGTGGACACACTTATGGGGAAACTCCTGTTTACTCTGATACTGAAGCCTGATTTGTTCACCCTCGTGTAGCTGCACGAACCAATGGCGCTTCAGTCTGCCAAAAGGGGAGGAGCCTACCTCTACCCCTCTCCAGCACAATGGTGACCCACAGAACTACATTAACAGATCTCTCTTGTGCAAAAACACATTAATACAGTTCAGTTAAATATTTACTCTCCTTATAGAAAATTCTGCGATTAATTAAGTGATGATTGTGCTTTAGAGATGAACAGCTGCTGTTAACAAGCATAATCACTGAATGAAAGAGAAACACCAGAACTACAGCTGACTTCAGTCACAGCCTTAGATGAAATCAACTGAAATACAAGATTAAATCTCTCAAGATCTGATTAAACAACTCCACAAACAGCATTACCAGCTTCACACATTACAATTTGACTTTGTTTCTGTCATATATCTACAAAAATTATTTGAAAATTAAAAGAGGTTTAGATGTTTTATTGAAAACGTTTCGTTTGACCTCACCATTATGGAGATTATGAGCTGCAATTCCACCATATCACAAGGAGAGGAGGTGTTGATGGGTCCAAAAGAGCAGATGCTGCACTACATCCATCATCAGTCATGATCCGACACCCCCCTGACAACTGATGCTCACGAATACCACCATTTGTCTGTTTGGATAAGAACATGGCAGTTCTGCACATCTGTATGAAAAGCTCTCAGAGTCAAATACACCACAAGCAGTTCTAAGCAATTTACGAACCATGCTCTGATTCAGAAGGCTGGATG